CGTGACTGAAGGTGCTGTTTATTATAATACGTGGTAAAAAATGAAGCTGTTAAATATTTTTTGATTTTAAGTTTTTGAAAAGCTACTGCAGGTTTTTAATGGAGAGTAAAGGCTTCTAAAGGATGGTCACTTAATTAATACTGTACAAAGTTAAGTGGCCGGTGCTCGTGGAGCTGATTGCTAATATCGTATTGAATCTTTGTGTAAAATGAAAACTTCATTTATTGTCAAGCAATTCAAACGTTAGGTTACTATAAATAAGGTGATTTGGTTGAACTACGAAACATGCAGGTTAAAGAAAATGAAAAACAGTACCTCCAGGAGAACACCCAAATACCAGCGAACGACATATGATGAACAGAAGGGCGGAAATCTTGGTTGTAACCATTCTAATGTGAACACTACTATTTCTTCTGAACACCTTCAGACGTTCTTTTTATATGCATAGGGCCGAAAACTTTGTTCCTTGTTGTTCGCTTTTCCATTGTTTATCAGTATGACATAGTTTGGAAAATCTTTTCAATAAAAATTATTCAAAACAGCATAATATTTTTTATATTTTTTCAAAAAGATTCTTTAGAGTCAAAAAAAGGAAATAAGTATGCACACATGTATATATTTTTTTCTTTTATTTTCCTTTTCTATAGTTTTGATGGCGACAAAAAAAGCCTTGTTCTAGCTGTCAACTTTAGAGCATTTATGAAAAACTAAACGCATATGCTGTCATAGACAAACAGATTCAGTCAAACAAACCACACCAATGGTCAACGTTGTTTAATTTTCCTTCCAGTACGGCAAATAATAGGGAAATTGAAAAACAATCTCACTAATACAACAAAATTTTTGTGCGGCTAAAGGATTTTTCTCTAATTTTTTGTGCTATTAACGACAGCGGTAAAACACGTTAATTCTACTCTAACTTTTTTTCGGACACTTCTGCACGTTGGTTGACAGGACTGACAAGTTTAGCAGTTACGGTTCGATATCTTGGAAGGTTGTGTAATTAGTAGCATACTGTAATGCTTTCAATACTGATGGTACATAGAATACCAAAAAGTATGTTTTGTTTTAGCCCTTTGCTTTGCTTATCGACAATCGACTTACTGGTTTAGAATGTAAGAAGCTTGAGATGCTAGTTAAAGGACGACACGAGAAATCTAAAACTTTGCACCTTTTCAGAAACTGGGATGCTACCAAATGAGAGTGGAAAACTTGGGCCGATTAGCTAGTTGTCAGTAGTCGTTCAACGTCATCCGCGTACTTTGGAATTACTTATTGTTTTGGAGACTTGAATGGGGAAAAAAGTTTACTTTGTTTGAATTCTGACTAATATCTGTCTTAGCTTGTGGCTATAACTACTATACTTTTACAGGTTATTTCATTTCTCCACTTCACTTTTTTTATTGTTTATTTACCAATAAACCTAAGTTTTTGAAGCTCTGGGTATGGTTATTTTGATAATCAAGTTATTACTGTTCTCTATAAATTAGTTATCTGTTTGTTATTTTGTGCATCTTTGTCTCATTTACATAGTTGGTGGAAAAAGTAAGTACATTTTTAATTGAGCTAAATGAATTTTTTCTCTGTCAAGTCAATACTTGAATCAGTCGTCTGATTATTATAATCTTTACACTCCTGGACCCTTTTTTATTATGCGGCTAGCAGAGAGTTTATCATCATGAATAAAATAAAACTGGAATTTAGTCTTGTTGGTGAGGTCAGTCATTGAAACTGAGCAAATGAAGTTCAGTTGATTGTTTTTTGCGTTGTATTATTCAAATACATTATTTTTTTTTTCGCAGCAAAAGTGCTACCAATAATCAGTGATATCTGATAATTATAAAGTGTTTTTAAAAGTTTTGAGAATTAAAATTATATTGAAAGGAAGTTTTTTTAGGAATATGAGATAAAACTTTGCTGCTGTAATATGTCAAGCTGTTATTATCATAATTTATTAAAACAGTTTTGGTTTTTGTTCTATATGCTAATGTCTACCGGAAAGTTGTAGTATGTGGTAGAAAGATCAACGGCTGAAATATTGATATTTGCTGTATGGTATGGACATTGTGGGCTTTGGACGTCATTGATGAACCCAAATAATAAAAAACGATCACTGAAAGTTGCTGACAACTGTTTTAACATTATTTCTCTTCCATTTCTTCTTAACATCTTGTCCTTAATTTCACAGTTCTCCCGGTACATTGTAGAAACATTGTAGAATGTATTATTGATGTAGTTGCTTTTTTTTGTTGCTTATTCCTGACATATATTATCAATATATTGACTGGAAAAAGTTAATTAGATCTTTGCATAAATAATAAGCATAAATAATATCTTTTCATTTTTTTCGCAGTTCTTAGACGTTAAAACAGGTAACTGCTTAATGATAAATCTATGCCTGGTACAACCTTTTAAAACAGTTTAATGTCGTAAAACTGAAAAAACTTTGATTAACGAACAAAAAGGTGATTTCTATAATTAAAGCATCAAAAAGGATTAAAGACAACATTTAGCTTATTGTCTCGAATTAGTTCAGTCTTTGCTGCAAGCGGTTGTGCAGGACTCGTAACAGTTTGGTACCAAATACTTTCACTACTGACAGAGTAATTCAAGAAGCTTTCTTCTGCAGACGTCAATTTTAAAGAACTCTGACAGCCGTTAGATGTTAAACGACGAGCATTTTCACTGCTTAAAATACCCGTCTGTTGACGCAAAACTTCGGCGTAATCGGTGCTACTACTATAAAAAAATTTGCATCAAATCGGAAACATATGGAAGGCACTGAGCTGGATGCTTCGCGGTTTAAAAAAAAAAAAACAAGCAGAAAGTGTAACATTTTAACATTTACTGTGGTTTTTTTTTTTGGAAATTTTATAAGGTATCCTGGTATGTTTGAGAATTTTGATGAAAATTGGTATCTGTTTAACAATTAAGGACAATTGTGTCTTAGCCAACAATAAAGCAATCTGTAGCAATTTTTATGAAACGAGATTTGCTCCTTAACATAATTCTTTCAGTCGGCTGACACTGTTATAAAAGAAAAATTACTTGTTATAGCACGGATAATTCTTTTAAAATATGATCACATCAAAATGTTACTGTTACAGTTCACAGATAATGTATGACAGATTTCAAATATTTTTTTTTTTTTCAAGCTAGGTTCTTGTTCTATCAAAAAATGATATAGAATTGAACAAACAGAAAACGATTCACCAAAGAATTGTTACAATTAGAGATCAGGCTGCTGCTGCTTTCTTCAACGTATTCTGCTGATTCCTATTTCACTGAATGACTCCACTTCGACAATTAACATGTCATACAAAACTGAAAATTGTCAGGACTTAAGAAAAGATGAAACGTTTTTGGATGATTCATAATTTTCTTTAACTAAATGTTTCAAGCAAGGAAAATGAAGTCATTTGGAAATTTTGAACAAACTGGATAAATTCGAGAATTTTTTATTATAACCGATAAAGTTCAGTTTAACCAGGCTTATTAAAACCCAAATTTGGCGTACAAACAATAGGTTATTTGTACATCAAACTAGTATTTAAACATTAGACGCCTTTTTCAGACTGATTTTTCATTTATAACCTATACAGAATGAAATTTTTTCCAGTTTTGCTTTGAGTACATCTACGTAAACAATTTTTTTGAAGGCCATCAGCGCACAAATAATTCTGCAAATTAAAGACATTAGAAAATAGTCGCTTAGGTGTGCTTTTGTTACCAAAGGTCGATGTTTTTAAAATAAAATTTGGTTTTAAAACCTGGATTCAATTGTAAAAATGTGTTTTTTAAAGTCCAAACTAATCTAAGCTGAAAATGATTAAGTATCCTATTCAGCTTATTACTCTGAATTGGTTCAGTCGTTGTTGTCTAGAGCAGTATTTATAACAGTTTAGCACCTAATACTGTTATCAGGGGAAAAAAAAATGCATAAGGTTTGGAAATCTCTACATCGATGATATTGAAATGTACAAGTACGATAAATTTCCAAAATAAACTAAGAACACTTTTTTTTTTTTTTTTTTCATTTTTTGTATGTCTGCTTATCAGTTGTAAATCTCATTTCTATGCTTTTGGTGTACAGTTTTCGTTACTACTGCGCAATCATATGGCTTTTATATATGCGGCAATCATAAGGCCAATGATAAAATTGGTTCTTAGTTTTTTTTTTTTTTATTTTTGGTGGTAAACGAATTATGGAAGAACAAAGTATTGGCCTTTTCCTTTTCTTAGAACTGTACAACCAGTAAAGCTCATTACAGTAAGTCAATGTGTGGTTTACCCAATAAGGAGTGATCAAAAGCAACAATTTGGACCTTACTCTATACTATGATTATTATTATTATTATTATCATTACACGACATGCATGTCATCTGATTGCTATTCCTCTCTAATTCAAGTTTAAAATTACAATTTTAACAACTTAAAGGTAGTGTTAGATATAAATAAATATGAAAAATGTATGTGTATAATACGTGTGATTTATTATTTCCTTATCTGTTTTAAGAGATCAGCTAATAATTTTTCTTCTGTTTGTCAAATCTTTGCTTTTTAAAATTTATAAATGTATCGGCTTTTTTATGTTTATTTTATTTTTTTTTTTACTTTATTAACTATAAAACTATTACTATTG